AATATAATACCTCTACTTTTCTAACATGGTCATCGGAAGACCGTCGTTTTATGTGACCAAACCATTTAAGGCGACTCTCTCTAATCTTATCTTCCACTGGAGCTACTACAACCTTTTCATGTGTATTTGCTCATTTCGTATCCTATCTCTAAGGGTAAATCCACTCATCCACTTGAGTATCCTCATCTCTGCAACACTTAACTTAGTATTTGCTTCTTTACAACACTTAACTTTAGTGATTCATATAAATTCAAATTTGATGTATTTGAAGTGTTAAATTATGAGATTTTTTTATCAAGATCTTTTATTTGAATTAAATCCTAAACAAAACAACCCCTACAGAGTTTGAGGATATATGATTTAAAGATGTAGCAAATCATCTTACTTGCATCCAAATAAATTTTATGATGCAACATAGACAAAAGATATTAACAACCACATAATTTTTTTTTATTTACAAGAATTTCCTCATGTAATAAGTTATTATATAATCTCCTTTGACAATTTCTGGTTGATGATCCCAATGAAAATTTGGGAAATCTCTAAAATCCCGTTGAATCTAACGATTGGAGGACTTTTGCACACCTCATTGAACCATGTATTGATCCAAACTATCACTAATTCTAAAAGAAGCAAAACCATGAAGCTGCAGTCCTTCACAAACAGCTCTGTACTATAGAATTCTGAAGGCTTGGTTTGTTTTAGATTGTTTCCTTACCTAAAGGAAAATATATCTGTTCTTTTAAAGCCCTCTTCATGTACTCTTTCTAATCTGTTTAGCTGATTCTTTAAAGCTTCTGACCTTGCATAGAGTCTTATTTTCAATTGAAAGCAATTGTTTTCTAATGCTTCCAGTTGGAGAAATACTATAAACCAATTCTCTTAGTGATTTCAACAGGGAAAAAAGCATCTTCATTCATCTGTTTCTTAATAATCATGCCATTTTGCCTTTCAATCATTCAATTTAAACAATGTTATCACTGTTTATCTTACTTGTTTCTTCAATTGTTAAAAACCTCAGGATCATTTATGACTGTGAAATGTTCTTAGGTTTCTTTTGGTTCTATTTCTTATAAAAAAGCATCATGTGAGCTACAGTAGCTGAAGAGTTGGGTCAAATGGTCCATCGCCTATTGACTAACCTTAATAATAATTATTATTTCATTTTAGTAGTTAATCTGAGACATAAACAAGTGCCATTTGTCTAAATAGAGATAAAACAAACATTTTGGATAAAATATATTAATTAGAAAAATCACAGCCGTTAGTTTTTCCCAGGCAATCAACCTATCTCTCTCTTCTTTTACCATTTCACCCCCACAACACATAAAAATTACATTTTTCCTCACTAATACTAGAGATTAATTAATGATATAATTTTCCCACTGTCCTAAATTCACAATTTCTCAGCACACACAAAAAAAAACTTGAGCATGGATTAAAAAGTAGTGAAGAAGAGCAAGGAGCTACGCCGTACTTAGATACTCTTCTGAGGTCTTTGGCTTTTCCTTCTGGTTCTTCTTTTGCTGCTTCCTGGACTTCTGTCCCATTCGTCTGCCGCCCCTTTCCCTTCTTCTCTTTCTTCTTCTTCTTCGTCGTCGTCGTCGTCGTCGGTCTTCAATTTCTTCTTTTTCTCCTCTTCTTCATCTTCAGATTCCTTTCTGTCTTCTTCTTCCTTAATCTTCTCATCTACAAGCGGAAGCTTCCTTGGTCGGCCTCGCTTTCTCGGTGCCTGCTGTGAATCAAACTGCGTCTGCTCTTTGCCAATAAACAAAGTCGATCGCTTCCTCTGCTTCTTCTTCACCATCTCCGATCAAAAACTAATCTTTCAATCGTAAAAATTGAAAAAAATCCGATTTCTTTCCAGAGGAGGGAAGCTTAAAAAGAAAAGAAAAGAAAAAAAGAGGAAGCTTTTGGTCGGGGGAGAGGAGCTAAGGGGATGGAGACAAATGGATTAAGGACTTATAAAGCAGCAGAATCTACGGAGAGTTTCTTCGTCTTCTTCTTCTCTTCTCTCTTTTTTCTAAATAAAGAAGGGAAGGTTTGTTTACTAGTTTCCTTAGCTCCGACGACTTCTCCACCAAGCCTGTGGCCCCCGGGACTTAAGAAGCAGCAGGGAAGAAGAGTATGAGAGCATGATCAATGGTGTTTGATTAAGCTTAAGCGTTAGTCAAAATTAGATAATTGCATTATAGTTCATTTTGACTAGTCGCTATCCTTGTGTTCTTTTAGTTCCCCCCTTTAGTTTTTAGCTTCTATTTTCATTGATAAATTAATTTGTAATTCTTCATTACTATTTAATTTCTTAGACATATTTTGAGGGGAAATTAAATGCAGGCCACAGAATATTTATCTATTTGCATACCTAATATTTAAATCGTAATATTCATTTATATAACATTTAATTTTTAAATTACATCAAAAACTTTATTAAATTAATTTTTTTAAATTAAAATATACCATTTCATACATGTCATAAAAATATTAAAATTTTGTATAAATAAATATAAATGATGTCATTTTTTATTCTCTTAAACTATTTATTGTATAATTTTATTGTTTTTTAAGGAATAATGAATAAGAAGGTGCAAATATTAAAAATAAGATTGATGCAAATTAAAGTTCAGGATTAATTAAGTAATCCTTATTCTTGAGTTATGGTGTACAAAACAAGTTAATGAATTCATTTCAGATCAGGTTGATGTGTGTTGTATTGTGTTCAGGTCAGGTTGAGTCAAATTTGGTTCATGTCGGGTTATTTTTTAAGTCATTTCAAATTACACCTTATATATCATCAAAAAATTATCTTGTTCAGGCACGAATCTTGGGACAAAATCAGGTTGAAAATTTTTTAAACTAAATTTGGGACCTTCTTATAGTCGAACTAACACCGTTTTCATCAAACTTATAGTTGAATTAAAAGTCTAGAAAATATGAACCCAACAAAACCAAATTAGACTTAAACCTAGCCCAAATGGGCCCAAAGTGCATACTCGAAGCACATTTGGAAAGTTCAAACCATAAATTGGATGGCCAAATGATTTTCAAACGTGGCATGCTTATAGTTGAATCAAGCGGCTCGACGACACGAATCCAATGAGCCCAGGATTGTAGAATCCTGATATCATTAATACATTCAAATGTGCAATAAACGGTCCACGATCCCCTCATGCCACTCTTAGAAAATTATAAATAGATTCATTATTTCTTATGGAAATAGACTCAAACAAGGAAGAGAGAGAAACTAGAGTTCTCTTGCCACCATAGTCCTCCTTGACCACTACCGGACTTCTGCCCGGTCACTGACTGACACCAGACTTCTGTCCGAACACTGACCTTCGACGGACTTCTGTTCAGCCACCAATTTAAGCAGGACTTCCTCCCGGCCACCAACTGATGCAGGATTTCTGCCCAATCACCAAACATTACTGGATTTTCGTTCAATGTCCATTCGTCACAAGATTTCAATCCAACGGTTGAACGATGACTTTTCGGTCACTTGTGATCTATTCAAACACTAGTATAATCATTTCAATTGGGCGTGTCCCTATGATTTTTTCATTTTCCAATGTTTTCCACGTAAAAAATATTGTGTTTCTGAATTCAATATTTGTGTGCTGGATATCTGTACAACATATGACGAAAATTCTAACTCTATCGCCCCGTATATTCTAGCCCGCACAAGTCCCATCATATAAAATTGATACTCCTAACCCGATTCTATTACCACTAATTTTCTAAAATGGTTGTTGCAAAAAACATGGTGCACTAAAAGATCATTATAGATATTATTTGTTGCAATCCCAACCAATTTTCCTATCTACTAAGCTTCAATTATACTAAATGGCATAAATAAGTCGAATATCCATCAAATCAAGTTAATCTTATTTAATTTTTATCGGGCTCAAACTCAACTTATTTGAAAATTATTAGACGAGCTCGTTTGGATATCTCGACCTTGACTTGAGAAATAATTAAAAAATAATTAGTTTATATTTTATTATATTATTTTAAAATTAATTTTGAAATATATTTTAATTTAAGCAAGTATTTTATAAGATAATGAACTGAGCCATACTAAGCTTGAGTTTGTATAATAACAAGTTATGGTATAAACTCAAGCTTAAACTTATGACTAAATAAGTTCAATTTGTGAGCTCATTAAATAATCAAATTTAAGCCTACTCATATTTTATTTAGAATAATTTTTTTATTTTCTTTAAAAATATATATTTTTCATATTTATATAAAAATTAATTTTAAAAAAGTAAGAATAAATGAACCCCAATATTAACGGCTTTAATTTATTTTGGATAGGTATGTACTTTTGAAAACGACGTGACCAAAATTGTTTTTCCTTCGTCTATAAATGAAATGATATATTATAAAAATATATTGTACAAAATAAATTTCTCTTAAAATAACAAACGATATTTTAAAATATTTATTTAATTTCATAATTTTAAAAATAAAATCACCTTATCTTTCAACAAGACAATGGTACTGTTCACACTGAACATTTTATGGGCTACTTAAGAAAAAAATAATTTAATTTTATAATCAGTGGATGCTCAAGCAAGGGAGAAGGACCGAATGCCGTCAGCCTCTTCGTCTTCAGATAAGGAAGAGGGCCACCGAATCCATCGTTGTTATCTGTACAATCGCGAGCTAGGACCCATCCCTTCTTCTCCCTTCCGTGAATTTTTTCTTTGTTTTTATTTTTTATTTTTATCAAGCTGTGTCGTAATCACTGCCGTCGATTTCATCGGAGTTTTGGTTGGATGATTTTTTCGTGTCGCATGGGTGTTCGATCTGTGAGATACGATTCGATTTATAGCCGTGACTGTTTGATGAGAGCGGTAGTTTCATCCGTCTCTTGTCAAGCTTTTGTTGGCTTCGATTTGGGGTTTTTTCGGGGTTTTGAGGTTTAGGGCTTATTCGTGTTGCTGGACCTCAGTTTAGAAATTTCTGTTTCACTCTATCTATTGGTAGGAATACAGCTTTTTTTGTTGTTGAGAATTTGGTCGGAAGGTCGCTTCTTTCAATCTTATTTATTTACTTCCTTACTATAATTTCTTATGATTTTCAATGGATATAGTTTCGGCTTATGCAAAATGGCAATTTCTATGGCTTCGGCTGGATTGAAGGAAATGATGGAAATGATATGAAATTCAATTCCAGTAATTTTTGGATTAAGTATGAATATGTGGCCATTGATTTGAGATTTTCAAACTTCTTTTCATTTTGTTTCGCTCAAATTCCTTCCATCCAAACATAGATTATGTCAATCAGCCATTGATGAGAAAATAGAACTTCTTGTTGGGGAGAAGGAATAGAATTTTTCAGTTTTTTGTTCTTATTTCATTCAACTTGTTTTGGGGAATCATATTTGTTTGTCTTATTTCCTGTATTCGTTCTCATAGTTCGTCTCGATTTGCTTAGTGGTGTCTTTTTGCTTATTTTTCATTCGTTTTGTATGGACTAGTTTATTGGTAGGGAAGGATCTTGTTTCCAATTTTCCTGCTTACCTGTACTTCGAATGTTGCTTTGATTCGGCTTTGACTAGAATAATGATTGCCTCACTTTACAGGTAGAGAACACCAATTGGTGTTTCTGGTTCACTCTCTACTCAGATTGCCAAGGTTGATGTGAAAGTTATTTTGAAGGGAGTTTTATTTTGATAATGGGGCAAAATTATGATCCTGTTTACAAGGAAGAGACGCCTGATTCTGGCCGGATGATCATCATGCACCCTCTTTACCTTCCCAAGTTACCACCTTGGTTAGATCTGAAGGTTTTTTACATAAGAATCTGCAACTATGAGGTTGATGAATCAACTCCGGGCCATCTTACTGTTAATCACATTCCATTACACCCTGATACTGTTCTTGAAGTGAATGGTCGGAGAAGTAGCATCTATTCAGATTGTGTCTCCTCTTATCTCAGGAGGGACAGATTTGATAAAAAATCTGAAGAAACCACTTTCGTGAGTACCGATAATATTAGGATTACTGGAAGTGTTAGATTTGAGGTGTTTGATGGAGATGATCTCTTACTTACTGGAGTCCTGGAGTTGTGTGATGATAAGAATGATGAAGGGGAATCAAAAGGGCGTCAAAAGAAATGGAGTATAAAGTGCCAGTCCTTGGTGTCAAGTGGTGTTAGCTTCTTGAAGGGAAAGCAATATAAGAGTCCTGAAATGCCTTTGCCAACAATAGAAGTTTATATTGCTGGTTGCTTCTCTGGTACTCCTATTATCCTCACTAAAACGCTTAAAGTTGGTTTGCAGAAGAGAAACCAGAAGTCAGTTCTGGACTCGATTCCTGAACATGATACGGTTGAGCTGAAGAATGATGCGTTACAGGTATCACTGCTCCCTTTGGTTTCTAGATCCATATTTTTTATAATGTAGATGACACTTGGTGAATGAATGGACTGCTTTTATTTCTGATCATTCTCCATTTTGATAGGCCAGAAGTAAGCAGAAACTATTTGTGCAGTTCTGGAAAGAAGTTTACTTTTAGTTTCCATTTTGCGAACATGTTTCCTTTCTGTTCAAGTCGATAGCCATGTTTTGATTTTATTCTTTCTACAGTTCTATGTTTGTCATATTGACTTCATTTTTTTATTATTATTATTTAAAGTGTAAATGGACTTAAATTAGTATGACATGATATTGATTGATGATAAATGTGTTAGGGTGAACCGGCCCAGCTGGCCGGCTGGCTCAGCTCTATTACAGGATGCGAACAAGCCCTGGATGTTGACCGCCCACATTGAGGGCCCCACTAGTCCAAGTAATTCAAATTGAAAAGGAGGGGACGGCTTGGGCTTGGGCTTGGAAGGGAAATTAGATTAGGAAAGTTTTTGTATTAAAGAGCAAGAGATTTTTAGGGAAGGATTATGTTTTGATTTGTTTTCAATTAGGGTTTCTTGGCGGCTTGGGCTCTAGGCTCTCTTTTCTAGAGATTTGGGAGAGACGATCCTCCTCTCGAATTGAGGATCTCTTATATCTTTGCTTCGTTCTTGTTTCACTTTGCTTTCTATAAGATTATCTATCGTTTGATTGTTCTTCCACCATATTTTCTTCGGTTTTCTCGTTGTTTTACCGATTATTGTTAGGTTTGCTTGCGAACTTAAGTATTTCCCATTAGGATTACTTGCGAACTCATGTAGTTCCTATCAAAATGTTGTACAGCTGAAATGTTTGGTTGTGGAAGGATGCATTAAGCTATCTTGAAGTAGCTTTGAGCTAATAATACCCCGCATACCTATTGATCAATCCACAATCATTGCATTATATTTGTAGATGTTTATTTTGTAAAGGTTAATCGGGCTAAACGGACTAGCCATTGACTGCTATATGCATGTGAGTGGGGTTGCAATATATGATCATATGAGGCAATAAAAGCATGGAATATTATGTAATTTCCTTTCTTGTAGAAGTAACTGGCCAGTTGAAGCTTTAAGGCTTTTTATCACCCCTTGTTATATGTTCAACTTTATCCCAACTATCCCACAAATATGGTGAGAGATATGGTTGCTAGAATTGTTGTTTGATACCTATAATTAAGATCAAAGAAGATGTCTGAGTGTGGTAATTATATGAGGATCAAACTTATGAGCTAGGAGGCACAAACATTCAACTTTGGATGCAATGTATTCTAACTAGTGTCGGATGCAAACATGCCTTGGATATGACAGGGCACATATCAATCACAAAAACATGTATGTCGTTGAGAAAAGCAAAAAAAAATCCAACATGCTTGTTTGATGCGGCTAACAAAGTGAGGAACATTATTTTTTGTAGCTTATGAACATTATTTTTTCTACATCAACCCTGCCCCAAATCCTGCATTCGGGGTTGCTTCTTGTATTGGATACAACTGCCACAAGGATTAATTTGGTGGACATTAAAGAGAATTGTGCATGGATGATTTCTTCTTTCTTAATTATTGTATTAGTTAGAAAGTTTAATTCCCGACTGATGCATACCAAAAGCATTCTTAAAATCTTCGAAACTTACTGCTCTCTTTTAATTATGATATTCCCATGGTACAAATGGAAATTTTGTGCAATGCACGAGATAGTAAGTTTTTGAGTTACTGACTGATATTTTTTTCTCTCTTTACATGAACATTTTTCTAGTCTCTTTGTAGTTAAGATACTATGTTTCTGTTAGAAAATACTTGAGAAATCCAAGTAATCCCTAACAAGAGAGATGAAAACAGCAAACGAACAAGATTCAGATGGAAAATTTCAGCAAAATAACATCTTTGCTTGAAGGAAATCAACTAAACGAAGAAACAAAATAATATACAATTGATCCTCAATTCGAGATGAGGATCTTCTCTCCCAATTCCTAGATGAAATCTAGGGCCCAAGACTCCCAAGACAAGAACTTCCAAAATCATTAACAAAACATGCATAACCCTAACCCTAAACAACTCATACTAATTAATACATTAATTTCCTAATTCAAATCTTAGTGGGGCAGCATTTGTTTGCCTCCTGTAAACAAGAGCCTGTTGGTGGGTTCAGTCATTGAAATGAAGTTAAGAGTTGTTTAATTTTTTTATAAGTCCATGTCTAATCTAACACTTTCAGATGAGTCTCCTAAGATCGGTTCTCCTAACAGTTTCAAAATGTTGTTTCCCTAATTCATACTTTCTTCTATCATCAAATGATCGTCAAAAATGACATATTAAGCAACTTTATGTGCGGACCTCTTTTTTGCAGCTATCTGATTATGAAGACTACAAGATGGACAGTGATACCAATATTGATTATAGCAGTTTATATCCCAGAGCAGAATATACTGAAGAGGAGGATGGAGACCTCTCATGGTTCAATGCTGGTGTTAGAGTTGGCGTTGGAATTAGCCTTGGCATTTGCCTTGGTGTTGGAGTTGGTGTTGGTTTGTTAATTCGCTCATACCAAGCCACCAGTAAGAACTTCAAGAGACTACTCTGATCACGGATCATCCTGGCACAAGCTGTTGTCTCCTCTGTTCTTATTTTTTTCTCTCGAAGCGATTGATTTTCACTTCGTTTGGGACGGCTTTCTCACCGCTTCTTAAAGCCGCTTTTTAGTATTAAAATTTTAATTTTTGGAACTAAAAAGTCGCTTTAAGTAGTAAGGAAGCTGTCCCAAATGAAGCCTTTGTCAGTCAGATTCCAAATGACAGCTTGGTCCTCTATCAAGAGAAGGAAATCGCTTGGGTAAAATCAAATTGCTGGCCTACTATATAAATTTCTCTTGTATAAAAGGTATATTCGCTATTGTGGAAAGGAAGATCTGCTTTCTTGGTGCTATTAAGTAGATTATTTCGTGTGTTTATGAACAAGTGTGTATTGCATGGATCTGTTTTCCCACTTTAGGCTATTTTTGAATGCTGTTGAAGTGATGAAGAAAGAAAAAGTTTTTAATAGCAAACTTGTGTGAATAAATTGCCTGTGGTTGTTAAAAAAGTTATTTTAAACTGAGACTGCAATTTCAGGTTTTGGTACCATCATCAAATTTCCATTGCGTTAATTTCAGTGCTGGCCGAAGCTTTCTTTGATATTTTCTAAAATCATAAATATTTCTGAAGTATTCTATGCGGACACCGGATGGTCTGGAGACCAACCAAAACGCATCACTTCATTTGGTACACGGTAGTACTGAGCATAGGTATCGAGCAAATAAGTGACGTGACACATTCTGGTTAGTCTCTGGATGCCGTCCAGTGTCCACACATAATGATTTTTTGTTTTGACGAGCAATTAAATTGATGTGATTTTGACCGGCTTTCAGTGTTTTTGTTGCTTTGAAACCATCAAAGTCAATTAATAAACATTCTTGTATCTTAATCCAATTTTTCTCTCATTTCCATCAGCTCTGTCCACATCTTACGTTCTAGTATGTATATATGTTGATCATGGTAAAATGACCACCTAGCTATAACTATTCCCACGACATAGACGTGAACAAAATCTTTCTTGGTTGCCTCTTTTTTAGAAATTGTTTTCCACATACGACACTGGAATGTTGTGTGACAAAACATTCACGGCGGTAGAGATATAGAGTTTAACGTCCTAACTTTGTACAAATATTCAAAACACAAACAAATAAGAAAAAAAGGGTGCAAGAGACATAAGAGACACTAATATGTTTACGTGTAAACTTTGAAAAGGCAAAAACCCACAATGCCTTGCCTAATTAAAATGATTATATTGATGTTTGTAGTTTATTACAAATGATGCTCTTTCTCAAGAAAAGACATTGGCTAAATGTAATAAATATAAATCATATAGAGCACATTACATTATTGGATTTAGAAGAATTTAGTGACATGAGAATTGTTCTCAACAGAATGTTAGTTTGTTCATTCGGTCGGTATGATCATAGTTAAGTGATGGAGGTCAGAGGGATCGTAGTAGGCCGACTGATATAGAGGAGACTATTGTCGGGCAATAGATATTGGAGGGACCATATATAATCAGACGACTGAGGTAGAAGGGGATTGTTGTCGGGTGATAGAGGTCAGAGGGACAGTAATTAGTGCGCGATTATAGTCGGAGGGATGGTAGTCGGTGGGTGACAAAGGTCGAAGAGACCTTAGTTTGCGAGGGATGGAGGTTGGATGAAGGCTCGAATGTAGCTTATGGAGGGAGGTCAGGCTGTGATGGTCAAACAGAGGTCCAACAGTGGCGCCCTGATGGTGAGGGTTTGCCGGTGGTGGTGTTGGTGTTAAGCTTTGGGATTCTTCAAGCCTCATAGCTCTCTTGAGTCTCTAGCCTATTATTTAAGCATCCAAAAGTTCAAACCTCTCTCTATGTGGGAAGAGGGAACATATTTATAGATTTTGAAAATGACATATCCCATAAATATGAAGAAGATCTAAGATAAATTCAGAGTGCTCAATTGGATGACCTATACTAATTCCCTCGATAATGGAGTATTTGTTCAGCATTTATGTTCCTTAATGAGATCATAATTAAGTGATATTGGCTTTGTTGGATTAATCTCATAGAGTCACTCAATTCGGCTATAAGCATACCATGTTTGTATATCATTTAGTCATCAAATTAATGCTTTGGAGTTTACAAAAACGTTTCAAGCCACTGATTTGGACCCATTTGGACTTTGATTGGACTGATTTTAGTCTCGTTGGGCTTGTCTCACTAAGATGTTCAATTTGACTATAAGTTTGTTGAAATTAGAGTTTGTATGATCCTTATTTTAATTTTGAAAGTTGTCAACTTGAATATGCCTTAAGATTCTTAATCGACTAGGGCGGTTTTTGGTGACATATCAGTGCCTCAAGATTCTTACTCAACTAAGGCGGTTTTTTGTGACATATCAATTCTCTTAAAAATAATTCGGAAGCATGAGACTAATCTATCCTACACCACATAATTTGTTATGTTTAGTTTTTGTCGGTATATATTAAAAAAAAAAGTATATATCAGTATATTATATCAATTCCATTGTCAATTAAAAGAAACATGTCATTCATAATAATCAATGACAAATACAAGTAAAATTATTTCAACTATGATCTCATCTTCATATGAAACTAAGATGATAGATCTTCCATCACAAATATTTTGATACTCAAAAAGTACATATATTTTAAAAATATCAAATATTAAAAAAAAAATATTAATAATTAATTGAATTGAATTGATAGAAAAACTATAAAATATACAATTTAAATTTACGATCTTAAAAAATAATATTCTCTTAAAAGAATGAGCCAAGAATTCTCTCACTTAAGATAAATTAAAACATTATTTATTATTAAAATTTTATAAACTCCATCTGCCTATTAAACTCATGATGCTACTACGGGGTCCGATTCGACGGCGTGAGATGCGACCATCAAGGTCGGAGTAGGGCCCACTTCTCTTCCCAAAACTTACAATCATTTCACGATACGTACTCGTGATGTCCGTTAGCCTCCGTTTCAATACCGTTCACATCCCAGGTCAGCAAGCACTCAGGTCTTTCTCTAGTCCCTACAGCCCTCTCTCTCTCTCTCCGCCCTTTTTCTCTTCCTCCGATCGCTACCCACAGATCCTGAAGTCCCAGATCGCCGCCTTTCCGCACCGCTTGGTCTAGGAATTCCCTTCCTTCACTTGATTGGGCGGTGGAGGGATGGACAATTAGGGCATAAAGGGTGCAAGAGACATAAGAGACACTAATATGTTTACGTGTAAACTTTGAAAAGGCAAAAACCCACAATGCCTTGCCTAATTAAAATGTTTATATTGATGTTTGTAGTTTATTACAAATGATGCTCTTTCTCAAGGGAAGACATTGGCTAAATGTAGTAAATATAAATCATATAGAGCACATTACATTGTTGGATTTGGAAGAATCTAGTAACTTGAGAGTTGTTCTCAACAAAATGTTAGTTTGTTCGTTTGGCCGGGAGGATCATAATTAAGTGATGGAGGTTAGAGGGATTGTAGTAGGCCGACTGATATAGAGGAGACTATTGTCTGGCGATAGATGTTGGAGGACCATATATAGTCGGACGATTGAGGTAGAAGGGGATTGTTGTCGGGTGATAGAGGTCAGAGGGACAGTAATTAGTGCGCGATTATGGTCAGAGGGATTGTAGTCGGCGGGTGACAAAGGACGAAGAGACCTTAGTTTGCGGGCGATAGAGGTTGGATAAAGGCTCGAATGTAGCTTCTGGAGGGAGGTCAGGCTGTGATGGTCAAATATAGGTCCAACAGTGGCGCCCTGGTGGTGAGGGTTTGCCGGTGATGGTGTTGGGGTTAAGCATTTTGGTACTCAAAAAGTACATATATTTTAAAAATATCAAATATTAAAAAAAATATTAATAATTAATTGAATTGAATTGATAGAAAAACTATAAAATATACAATTTAAATTTACGATCTTAAAAAATAATATTCTCTTAAAAGAATGAGCCAAGAATTCTCTCACTTAAGATAAATTAAAACATTATTTATTATTAAAATTTTATAAACTCCATCTGCCTATTAAACTCATGATGCTACTACGGGGTCCGATTCGACGGCGTGAGATGCGACCATCAAGGTCGGAGTAGGGCCCACTTCTCTTCCCAAAACTTACAATCATTTCACGATACGTACTCGTGATGTCCGTTAGCCTCCGTTTCAATACCGTTCACATCCCAGGTCAGCAAGCACTCAGGTCTTTCTCTAGTCCCTACAGCCCTCTCTCTCTCTCTCCGCCCTTTTTCTCTTCCTCCGATCGCTACCCACAGATCCTGAAGTCCCAGATCGCCGCCTTTCCGCACCGCTTGGTCTAGGAATTCCCTTCCTTCACTTGATTGGGCGGTGGAGGGATGGACAATTAGGGCTTAATTTTAGCTCAAAGGGTACCTTTTGGGATGATCGGATGCTGCTGATACCCCGCAGGTGGTTTAGGTTTAGGGCTACTGTTTGTAAATGTCGGTCGCGGAGCTGAAGGAGCGGCATGTTGCGGCGACGGCGACGGTCAATGCGCTTCGGGAGCGGCTTAAGCAGAAGAGGCAGCTCCTGCTTGACACTGATGGTGAATAACTTGCCTATTGTATTTCCTTTTTGGTGTTTTTTTTAAAGCAAATTTTTCTGGGCCTCATGTTTATATGATGGGATTGCAGTGGCGACCTACGCGAGGAGCCATGGGAAGACGGCCATTAGCTTCAGCCCTACGGATCTGGTTTGCTGCAGAACCTTGCAGGGCCACACGGGGAAGGTAGATTCGACTGGTCTTTACGGTTTTGATTTCTGGATAGAGGAATTGGTGCATTTTTCGTAATTAGAATTTAGTCTTGGTTGGTTTAAATTTAGCGGCTTTGTGGGTAGGGGATTTGTGATTATGAGCTTTTTGTGGAAGTATGTCTGCGGAGCTATTTATGGCGTATTTTGGAGGAGAGCCTGTTGAGGATTTGATTGCTGACGGAGATAACATGGGTTTGAAAAACTTACATAGTTTGTTTATATTTTTTAATATGCTCTCTTACTTTTGAAATTTTTTGAATTTTCTTGTCCTTGTTAAATTGCTTGCCTCAAAAATCAATCTTGGAAATCACTGCAATGGGTTTATAGATTTTTTAATATGGCACAATGAGCTTAGATTAACAACTTAGGGGATCATTGACAGCCCACCAATGTGAAATTGGAGGCTTCCTTTATACTGGTGCAGACAACCATTCCTTGTTTTTCCATGATTGATAACATGGATGGTAGATGTTTAGCTTGTAATCAAAATAGTTTATAAGATGGATGTGGGAGTAGTTCCAATAAGTTGTTTGAATTAGTCAGACTTATAGCATGACCATCACTTCCTAAGTAGAAAGAATTCTCCTACAAATTTTAATCTTATGTAGAAGTGAAAAGGTCTTAGGATACTCTTTTTAATCATAAATTCATGAACACACCAAATACACAACGCCTCAAATCCCTAATCTGTGTGGTGGGAGCAGAAGCTCCCCACCACTAGGCTAAGTTGAGGTGCTTAAAGCAAACACTCTTTATAAGTTTACTAGAGATGGTTATTTCATAGTTAATGAGTAGATAGAAAATGAAGGATGATTGTCTTTATGTGGAAGTTGTTGGGTAGATAGCAAATGAAGGATGATAGTCTTTATGTGGAAGTTGGAAGTTGTCATTAATCTAGCTCTAAGCATTGGTATTGTGAATTATTTTAAGTTTATTAAGGCCCGTTTATTGTCGTGCCGATGGAAATTGGTGATTTTTATAGCTTAAATTGTAGTAGTTCAAGTTCAGTTCATCTTGTTTGGTTGGATGTAATTGTCTTGTAAAGAATCTGCTATTTTGGTTTGAAGTTCTTTGGTATTTTGAATGTGATTTTTTGGTCTAGCTATTAGGTTAATGATGGCACTCATATGTTCAATTTCAGTCCCATTCAATAACATTTATCACAATATCCATTTTCTATCTTTGGATTGATGGAATGAATTGCTTGAGTTATTATGCTGGCATGTAAGAAATGGCCAATCCTAATCTATATTGTAGCTGTCCAAAGAAGAAGCTTTCGGCCTGAACTTTTGGATGGAAATTTGTTGAGAGAGCAGGTTAAATTTGAAGTAGTTTCATTCCTTCTTTAAATATAAACATCAAAATGACTTGTTGGTAGCACTCTGCTAGCAACCAAAGAAATAGTTGGTCATAATTTTGAGGGACAACTTTTACCCATTTTAAGAACCTTGTCATTATTGATTATCTGTTTCACCTCGCATATGTTGGTCTCATACTTAAAAAATTTCTATCAGTCATATTAGAGTTTACAGCAAGGGTGGAGGCTTTCCAGTAGATGTAGGTTTTAGGAGTACATGTCTAATAGTGGAGAGGGAGAGACTTTTTGGGATGCCATAGAAGGATTGGGGATGGGTTTGTGAAGAGGAGGCATGGGAACCAGGTATAAGGAGCTTCTGACTATTTAAACTGCTCTTTACACGCTTGAAGGGCTGGGATTCCATCTCACAACCAAATCCAGGAAGGTGGCATCATCATAATTACCAAGCAGGGAGAAATATAATTTTCATTCTTTGATTGCTTCCTAGTGACATGCAACAGCTATTTATTTTAATACCTGGATTGCTCAAAGAAAAACTTCCCCTTCAATGGCTATTTTATAATTAAACCAAATTAAGTTAAAAAACAAACAAACTAGCACAAACAGTCACACAAATGATATAAATAACTAAAAGACATGAGAACGCACTGGAATGTCACCTAGACCATGCATTAGTAGAGCTCAAGCAAATCTGATAGTGCATACGATAGCGATGGTGATGAGAGGCAGCTTGAACACCCCTATGATGAACTCCATTATGCCACCGTGATGCAAATGATTACGGATAATAAAAAATTAATATGATTGTTTTGAATTGGAGTACTTTTAAATTATGTCAATCTTTATAGCTGTATTGTATCAATTACGTTGAATAGGATTTGTATTGGATTTTTTCTTTGCTCAAAGATAACTACACATTTATAATACAGTCTAAATAACTGCTTTATAAGTAAAGAAGTTTAGATTCAGAGATCAGTGGCACTATAAAAACCTTCACAAATTCAAAAGGAATGCATTTTGCCTTTAAACTAAGTGAAATTTTTTTTGCTGCATTCAACATTATGTATTTTGTGTAGCTGATTATAATTGTAATTTCAAACAAGCTTGGAAAAATTGCTGATCTACTGTGTACTCTTAAATTTTTTCAGGTTTATTCATTAGATTGGACCCAGGAAAGGAACCGGATAGTTAGTGCATCTCAAGATGGGAGGTTTATTGTTTGGAATGCTTTGACAAGTCAAAAAACACATGCAACCAAGCTTCCTTGTGCATATGTCATGACATGTGCCTTTTCTCCTAATGGCCAGTCCGTTGCTTGTGGTGGCCTTGATAGTGCATGCTCTATATTTAATCTTAATTCTCAAGTTGATAGGGATGGGAATATCCCTGCATCAAGAATGCTAACTGGTCACAAGGGATATGTATCTTGTTGTCAGTACATTCCTGATGAAGAATCTCACCTGATCACTAGCTCAGGTGACCAGACCTGTGGCTTGTGGGATGTTACCACTGGCCAGAGAATTTCTGTATTTGGAGGTGAATTTCCATCCGGTCACACATCCGATGTCTTGAGGTATTTTCATGTTTCACCATGGAAAGTTACAAATGCTTCTGAATTGATTCACAAGATTCCAGATTTAGTTCTTGCATTTGTTACATTTTGTCCCGTTGTGGTGCTAGCATAAGAATCTTGGGGTACACAAGAAAATGAAACGGCTATGAAGTTTCTTGAAGTGCTTATACGAACATAATTTAACCTCTCAAGTTTGTTTGAATTTATGTTTTTTTTTCCAAAAGAAGGAAAACAGAAATAAACTTGTGAAATGTCCTTATGCTTTACCCACCATTCGTTGTTTTTTTTAATTTAAATGTGGTATATACTCATATAAAATGTTTTTTTTATTTCACGTTTTTATAGGACTTGTAAAAAATTATAATGGTACAATTGATGCTTCATTTTGTGTATTCTCATTGAAAGTTTAAAATTTTACTATTGCAAGTACTTGTTTTTGCGGTGACTATTTTAATTAGTTTGCTTCAATTATGTGAAGCTCTCTATAATTCTTAATAGTTACCTCCAAACTTGGAAACTACCACATCCTACTTTCATGCCAATGGATCAAAGGCTTAATCTTCTTTAAGCTGAATAGGTGATCCTTTACTTAGCTGAAGTTTGGGTTATTATTTTTCTTATTGATTAAGGATGTTATTACTTCTTATCATTGATGTTTTTAATTCTCATTGCTCAACTCCTAGAGAATATCCTAAAGAAAAATGCCCCAACAATCTAAATATTTAGTATCAAAATTGGGATGAGTGTATCTCTATCAAAGAGTGCATTCATCTTTGTAGGTATGGTTTTAAATTCATTTAACATTTTCCTAATGTTTTATATAACTTAGATCATTTAAGATTGCAAAACTACATACGAGATGCCTAAATTATTAAGAAGTGCTTTTGGACCTTCAGCTCCTCTGATGGTTCAATATTTTGTTTCATTCACACTTAAAAAAAAAAGTATCTTATTTGCAGTATTGTAATGACTTGTCTTATTCTGAATCTTGCATATGTTTAGAATGAATTATTATTTTATTTAGTTTTTTTTCTTTTTAGTTTATTTTCTTCTGAGCTCTCAAGTGTAAAGTTTATTTAATATTCAATTATTTACGTCATTCTCAAAATAATTAATCTAACAAGTTGATGTGGGTCCAAGAAGGTTTTCAACATATCAAGAACCATTCAGTTCTCCTGTGGGGCTCAGGTCCTCCTTTATCACCTATAGGAGAAGAGGCTTTAGGGGGAGCTCTTTGGAAAAGATATAAGGGGTATTTATTAAGGTATTTGAGCTGATTTGAATTCAAAATAAGGAGGTAAGCAGGAAGGTTTATGTGAGGGTTTAGGATTGTTTTATTTTATCATGTTATGTGTGTTTGCTGTAATTTTCTTTGGATTGTTCCTAGCGGCTCCTAGGATTTGTGGTGAACCGATCTACCTCTTGAATAGTATATCAACTTGTATTTTGGTTTGTTGCGTTGAAATAAGCATCTTTCTCGCTGATTTTTTTTTAGTGTTTTATATTGTTCTTGCTATTTTTGTCGTGTGGAGGACAAATTCCTAATAAATTGGTATAAGAGCATGATTCAGGACCTATAGTGGATTCTTTGGAAGAGAAACTAGAATGAGAAGTTGGTCAATTTAAATTTTAAGTTGAGAAAAGGATTTCATCCATGGAAGGAAGGTTTTCTAACCTAGAAGACATGATGAAGAAAATATTGGAGCTTTACACCCAACCGACAACATCGGAGGCGAGGGCATTGGTAGATGGCCAAGGAAGTGTGATAAACCCCGATATCAGCACAATGAGGGATGATCGAGAGGTAGAAATCATGGGCGACAGGGAAAATTTAATACCTCTTGAACTGATAACCATGAGGGAAATGGGTGAAGGATATAACATGAGGAGAGATTAGGAGAAAGAAATGAGGGCTGATTTTGAGGAAGATGATATCTATGAAAAGGAGGGGTGGGAGAGAACATTGGATAGATCACAACAATCGCTATATGAGAAGAGCTGGAGGTGGAAGAGGAAGTTGGAGGTGGTGAATCGTAATGTGGAGATTTATCTTCGTTGCTTTGTATCAAATACACCAAAGATATGGGCCAAGTGGTTAGCCTTGGCGGAATATTGGTACAACACTTTATATCATACAGTAGCCCAGACAATGCCATTTAAAATCCTATATAGGAGGGATTCACTTCATCTGATACATTATAAGCATGGCAATACACTAGTATCATTAGTGGAGTAGTATTTGGGAGAAAGAGATTGGATTTTGGTAGAATTGAAGGAACATCTATGGAGAGCAAAACAGATCATGAAGAAGCAGGCGGATGGACATATGAGAGACACGCAATTTGAGGTTGTGGATAGGGTTTATCTGAAGATCCGACCTTACAGACAAAATATTTTGGCTCGATGAAGGAATGAGAAGCTCTCCCCCCGCAACTTTGGGCCCTACAAGGTAATGGAGCACATTTTCACAATACCATATCGCCTACGATTGCCACCAACCTCTGCCATCCATCCCGTATTCATGTATCACAATTGAGACGAGCCATTGGAGCCCACAAAGCCTCGTCCACACTACCGGCTATATTTTCAGAGGATATGGAGGTGTTAATATAACCATTTGAGGTGAAAGGGGTGCGCCTAAGGGTGCAACCTAGTTAAGCCGGCTCGAGCTCGACTCAGTAATAGGCTCGACGAGTCGAGCTCGAACACGACTTCGCCAGTGAGCAGGATGGATGGCAACTCTAGTTCGAGCTCGAACTGCGCCCTGCTCCACTCGCGAGCTCGTCGAGTAGCTCGTGAATGAAATGTAAAGCAGGAAATCGCAAGTGAGCGGGAAAATGAAATGGGAAACGGGAAAATTGAATCATGCGAACGGACGGATGCAAGCTGGCGACGAGTTGTCATGACGCGAAGAAGCTAGCTCGGGACGGAGGTGATGACGACAACAAGCTGGCGACGGAGATTAACAACTGCTCGGGATGACCTGACAACTTTACTAGGGACTGTTGAAACAGAGAAGACGACTGCTCGGGACGACCAACCGAAGCTGACGATGACGACAAGATGGCGTCGTCGATTGAAACGGAGAAAACGAGAAGCTTGATAAGCTCGGGACGACGGATATCGCAATCGAAGATGACGACGACAAGCTCATGACGAAGGTTAACGACTGCTTGGGACGACTCTGCTCGGGACAACGGAGGTTGTGATTGCTAGACTGCTCGGGACTGAGCTCGACGAGCCGCTCGATGTGAAACGAGTCGAGCTCGAACTCGCTTTTTGAGCTCGACTCAAATTTGAGCTCGAGCTCGAGCTCGGGCTCTGGTAGTCGAGCTCGACTTCGAACACCCCCTAGCTCGAGCTCGACTTGACTCATTTGCACCCCTAGGTGCGCCAAGGAGGCAAGGGGATTAGGGAGGTGTTGATCAAGTGGAAGGATTTACCAGAGTATGAGGCGACATGGGAGCCCTACAATACCATGCATAAGCAGTTCCCCTTTTTCCACCTTGAGAACAATGTTACTTTTTGGGAGGAGATTATTGATGTGGGATCCAGAAACTTTTCAATAGATCAAAAACCTTTCAGCTCTCATGTGGGGCCCAGGACCTCCTTTATCTCCTTTCGGAGAAGAGGCTCTGTGGGAAGCTTTGGGAAAGATGTAAGGGGCATTTATTAAGGGATTTGGGCTGATTTGATTTCAAAATAAGGAGGGAAGTAGGAAGTTTTATATAAGGTTTAATAGGGTTGGTTTATTTTATCATGTTATGTGTGTTTACTGTAGTTTTCTTTGGTATTTTTCCTAGCAAGGCCTAGGGTTTGTGGAGATCCGATCTATCTCTCGAATAGTAGATAAACTTTTATTTTGGTTTGTTGTGCTGAAATAAACATCTTTCTTGCTGATTTTTACTATGTTTTATCTTGTTCTTGCTGTTTTTGTTGTGTGGAGGATAAATTCCTATCACAAGTGCTTTGCAATGAGGGTTATATTAGCATGTAAAGTAGTGGACAAGTGTTTTAATTTATGTTTATGATTTCTAAAAGGTTTTATCTATATTTTATGGACGAATCTCATTGACATTAACATAAAGAAATACATCTAATCTCTTGCACCATTTCTTTATTTGTGTAAACTTTATCATTGTTTGCCCCAATGACTTGATATATTCTGTAATGTGCTAGAAAGGAAGGATAGATTTGTAATCATTCATCCTTTAAGATTTCAATATGATCAACTAATGCGGTTGTTATATCCTAGGTTTGATGGATTCGTAGTTCTTCATTCTTTAAGGCTCAAGTATAATATGCTCGACTATTAGGGTAGTTACATCCTAGTTTTTCTTATATAAACTCTTTTTTGTGGATGTTGCATGGTAATAAAATAGGTTTTTGTTCTGCATTTGGATATGATGCAACAAAGCAACCAACTTACTGGTTCCATCTTACTGGTATGTCTATATGAAAGTGTTGCGAAGAAGGTGGACGTAAAATGTTACATGCATTGACCGATATTTTTCTCTATGTTCTGGTCTTAGCGATGAAGGATCTATCAAATAAATTTCGAAACTCCATGTGTGGTGTTTAGAGCTTTGTTGGAGATTTGAAGATATGTCCTAATAGACTTTTTAACATGTTGAAAACATGGCCATTGATCAGGAGGTTCTCAAAGTCTTAATTTAGCCCAATTGGAACTGAATGAAGTTAGCAAGTAATATTGGAGTTTAATCATATCAAACTAAGGCCAATAGGCTCCATACAAGCTTAAAACATGCAAGAGACCTATGGTACCAAGGTGAAACCTCAATTCATGCTAAATGAGTTAATAATAAGAAGTTTAGGCATAACTTTTATCAAAAATGACAAGGAGGTCACAAATTGAAATTTATTTCATGTTTAAACCAATCAAAATTAACTCCATAATTCAAGCCATACAAATAGAAATTGTGGCTACATTCATGGAGGTTTTGGGAAAATCAAAACTCACTCCATGAAGCAAGCCATATAAAGAGGATTCGACCATGATAAGAGGAGAGAAAAAGGTTCTAATTACTCCAAAGAATTTAAGGGAATCTAGAAAACTCTGTAATGCACTTTATCAAACTCTCTCTATCTCTCTAGCTGCCCAAATCAAGAAGAGAATAAATTCACATAATATTCTCTTAGATATTTTCAAATAATTAAGATAATCATTTAGATAGGAACTTGTCTTATCAAATAGCTTATCTAAATAGATAGTGCTTATCTCATCTTTCCTATTTTTTAGAGAATTAGATGGTTATAAGTATAGTGTGTACTTAAGTTTGAAAATTGATTAAATAAAAATTCAGGATGTTAATCTCTATCCTATTTTATCATTCCTTGTCCTCTCTTCTTCCAATACTAGTCAACCTCCTATACTAAGGAAGCCAAGCCCCATCTCCCTACGTCTCCCTCACTCTCTATCTCCCTGTATTGATTTTTAGGTGCAGTAGGACTGCCAACTTCAACATCTAGAGTGGGGGTTGATTACCAACTATTATTTTCCCTATCATTGTGCTAAGAGAAGTTCAATTGTTTACTATTTAGGAAAAAATTAAGAGAAAATAGCAAGCAATTATAGGGGAAAATTCAAGAAAAGAAAGGATTGCTTGCAATAAAAATTCAAATTGGAATTTATAGAACAACAACATCAAGCCTTAATCCCACTTCGTGGGGTCGGCTACATGAATCATTTTTTCTTCATTGTGTTATGTTAAGAGTCAAATTGTCATTCAAATCTAATAAAGAAATGTCATTTCTAATATTTTCTAACCAAGACTTTTTAGGTCTACCTCCACCTTTCTTAACATAAGCAAAATCTAATACATCTACCCTTCTAACAAGGTCATTGGAAGGCCTCCATTTTATGTGACCAAACCATTTAAGATGACTCGTTCTAATCTTATCTTCCACTCGAGCTACTCCAACATTTTCACGTATATGCTCATTTCATATCCTATCTCTAAGAGTAAAGCTATTCATCCACCTGAGCATCCTCATCTCTGCAATACTTAACTTAATATCATGCTTCTCTTTTAATGGCTTAGGGTTTAGGTTTTAGGGTTACGATGATAAATTTTATGGTGAACTTTTTTCCTTTATTGTTCATTTATCATTTAGGAAGAAATTCTTATGATCTCGTAGGAAAATTCTATATGTTTGCAAGCCTCTTAAAAAACCCCATAAAAATCCTTTAGTATCAGAATGTATTTTTCGAGTCTACTTAATATTATAATACAACTTAGTGTTGTGGTGTTGGTTGATTCTAAATAATGCGTACAAAAGTCACTACTTTGTCTTTCAAGATAAATACTTGCTTCATGCATCTTTCTTTTTTTCTATTTTGTTGATATTCAAATCTTGAACTTTAGATGTCAATGATAATGCCACTCAACAAAATAATTGGTGGTGGATATCCTCTATATATCTAATCATAAATTGTCCTATTATTGTATTTCATATTTGATTTTAATTCTGTCAAACAATATCATACAAAAATTATGTCAACCATAGGCCAAAAATTAAAAAGCTAGTTGATCCTTTTTGTAGCATCATAAGCTTGTTCATCCATCAACCCTCCAAATATATATATAATAAAATAAAACTCATCATTAATCCTTAATTTCTTTGAACATATGAAGTTGTTTGATTGTTTACTTGTTTATAAAAAAAGTCAGGTGAGTCAAAATCTAAATCGACACTCAAATATGGAATTAAGTTATCCTTGTGATATTAGCTACTATAGATCCCAATGGGCAACTTCTCTTGCACCTACATCTCACCTTACAAAAGCATGGATAACTCAGTCTGTCAGTCATCATCAACATCCTCGGCAAACTCACCAAACTTCAATGAGAATGGCTATTAAATTGTTGCTAATAAGACGACCCTCCACAAGCCCACCCACTTAAGCCTATGTCAACTAATTGACCATTATTGACAAAACCAACAACATCGAGAAGGTAATAGTCTCAATGGCCAAGGTAGGTAATGCAATAGAGTAGTCTTGGTGAGCGACATCCTAGAGCTTCCTAGACTAATGTCTTTGTTGGATCCAAGATCCATGTTTACCAACGTTTATAGCATTTTCCTTCCTAAATGACACTAGATATGCCTTCAAGACTCATAGTTTTCGATACTTGACGACTATGTTCATGATGCCAAAAATGGAGACCACTCTACTTCGGGCTCTGTTGCATGTTGGATCTTTCTCCTACCTAAGCACTAATGGTAATCATGATACCCTTATTCTCCATTAGTTGCTCCTAATAGAATTCCATAATGAATTCAAGAGTCAGGTGCAACCAACTTAACCCGAGAAATTTTATGAAAAGATTGATGGACGTATTTGAATGCTATTAAAAACATTGGGTACTCACTAAGGGAAAATAAATGCAAGAAAGCAAATGCACAAAAATACACAAAAAATGCTGAATTCTCCAATTTGATGACTATTTTCAATTTCTATCGCAATAGTTTCCACTATGATTCTGAACACTCCCAGTTGCAACACTTTTCTCTTATCGCTAAGTTTTGGTAGTGATACAATTTTTTAGTGAGAGACTAGAATAGTCAAAATTATATATGAAAATTTCTAAAATGCATCTAAAATGCCCTTAACGAAATAACTCATGAATATATGCATATTAAGGCGCTTCTTTGTGGGGCATTAATTAGGCTTCACAAGTTAATAATGGTTGCCAAGCACTTGAGATGGTAGGCACCTCCATAGGCTCTTGCCCAAGTATAGTGTGGTGCTAAACTAGGAATAGATTTATTACTTTTAAGTTTATTTAATTATAAGGAATACCTTTGAAGAGTATGAAATGATAATAATCACAATATATTATGTTGTGCGAAACAATGAAGTTTTAAATCATATTGCATTTGAAACAAAAAAAAGTTTGCTATACAGATTAATTAAAAGTATAGTTAGAATACTTAAAGAATAATCTAATATTTACTATTATCAATTCCATCTTCATGTCACCCATGCCCTCTTCTCTACCTCTAATTCTATAGCCCTTCCATCCCTTCATTTATTTCCTCGGTTAAAGCTAATGTTTTCCCTAAAATTTATTAAATGATCTTTTAATGATCATGTGAGTTGTTAGAGGGCATTTGCGGCTGCATGTAGAACTTTAAACGTGTTTTGATAGAAAAATCTAATGGTATTCCATAATGAACAAAAGCAAGTGCGAACATGGCGTATTTGTAGATGGGCAGCAGTGTTATAAAGCAAACATACAAGGATCAAATTGATTATTACCAGAAACTCATATATTTTAAACCTGCTATATAGATGATTCATGATACTTTCCACCTCACCATTTTATTTCTGACTTTTCTTATTTTGTTTTCATGGATGGCTAGAAGTTTTTTTTTTTTAACCATATAAATTTGCAAGTGTTTTTAATTTACCTCGATGGATAATGGTGGAAATAACCATCATCTGGCAATGCAATATAATTTGCTATATCAATGATGCAGACTTGTAATACTTGCATACTAAATGTTTTTTTTCATTCAAGATGTTATTTCAGAGAATGCATTTCTTATTGCAATATTGCTATTTAGTTTTTGAATATTTTCATCATCTTGTTTGAAAATATAATTTCTATTAATTTTCTAATGATAACCTTTTAAGTTCAATATATTTAGATCAGTGGCTTTTTTGTTGAATTCTCCAGTGTCTCAGTCAACACGTCCAATTCAAGAATGTTTGTATCTGGTTCATGTGATGCAACTGCTAGACTATGGGATACCCGAATTGCTAGTCGGGCAGTTAGAACATACTATGGTCATTCAGGGGATGTTAATACAGTCAAGTTTTTCCCAGATGGGCAACGGTTTGGCACTGGTTCTGATGACGGCACATGTAGGCTTTTTGATATGCGGACGGGGCATCAGCTTCAAATTTATAGCCAGCAACCTGGTGAAAATGATGAAGTCCCTTCAGTGAAGTCCATTGCTTTCTCCATATCAGGAAGACTACTCTTTGCGGGTTACTCTAATGGTGATTGTTTTGTTTGGGATACGCTGATGGCTGAGGTATGGTCTGAGCACATTCAATAAGAAAATGCAAAAAATAGATATCTTGGTATAAGGAAACACGTGTGAATGGGGCAAGGCTATTGGGATTTTGACGGAATAGTTTTTCTTTTCGGATTATAAATTTTAGGCTTCATTTGGAACAACTTTCTTATTGCTTCATAAAGTAGCTTTCTAGTACATAAATTTAAATTTTTTAACTAGAAAGCTGCTTTAAAAAGCAGTAAGAAAACCGTCCCAAATGAACCCTAATTACACAAGTGCACTATTTTGAATGGGAAATAATTCAGATGCGTGAATCTTTGATTATATAAATCATAACCAACTGTACGGTTTATTGAATAAGATTCATAACATTCTTAGTTTCTTAAGCTTGATTTTCCTCCCTCTAATAAATCAAGGTTTACTCCTTTGGAAGCTTCTTGATTGCTCACCCTAATGGGTGGTTTAGTGAATGGGCATCTTTGTGCTGGGTATTTCGTCACATATGCTTCAAATCTTTTTGAAATAACCTGTCCTATTTCTAATGTTCATTCATAATTTCGTGTCTCCACGTAGTCAATCAACTTGCTTTTTGATGTTTTCTGCATTTAGTGACTAGTGGCTGTTTAAGAAAGAATTTAGAATGAGATCTATTTTTGTTTTATAGGTAGTACCATCAACTTTTAGAAGGCTTTGAGTTTCTTCTCTCCGCCTTTAAATTCACTCTTTTGTTACATTGACCAGTACATTAAGAGCTCTGATCCTTAGCTTGTTTGTCACCTATATACACTATTTGCATGCACTTTTTTTTTTCTTGCATAGATTCTTGTCCGTTTGATGGTTTATGAAGAAAATAATATTTGAACAGAAAGCTGGATCTGACTAAGATTTTTTTATTGATTTGCTCAGGTAGTTCTTAACTTGGGTTCTCTGCAGAACTCACATGAGGGTACTATAAGTTGCCTAGGTTTGTCTTCAGATGGCAGTGCCTTGTGCACAGGAAGCTATGACAAAAAACTGAAGGTCAGTTCTTACTTAGTTATCTTGCAATAAGACTTTTTTCCCAATATCTTCAAACATATATGATATTGTTGTATGTTGTTTAGATTGGTGTGGTGTATTTAGTTGCAAAATATGCTTATCAATAAACACAGGCTTGTTGTACTGTAAAACTATTCCCTGTTATCAATTTTCATCTACACGATGTCCCATGACCATGGATGTGCCCTTGTCATGCTAGATATTGCCAAAAAAAAAAGCAAAATTTTATTTTGTTCACCATCTTCGAGCTGATGATGATGACGGCGACAACAACATCAATTCTTTATTCCACTACATGCAATCAGCTACATGAATTCTTTTTCTCCATGGTCTCATTATATGAGTCAAATTCTCATTTTAATACAACTACAACAACAACATCAAGCCTTTGTCCCACTGTGGGGTCGGCAACATGAATCCTTTTATCTCATTGTATTCGGTTAAAAGTCAAATTCTCATTTAAATCTAATAAAGATCATTTTTAATATTTTCTAACCAAGTCTTTTTAGGTCTACCTCTATCTTTCTTAACATAAGCCGAATCTAATACCTCAACTTTCCTAACCGGGTCATTGGAAGGCCTCCGTTTAATGTGACCAAACCATCTAAG